TTCCTCTTTGACCTTATTTTTTTGTGTTCTGCTTTTTTCTTCGTCTTTCTCCACCTTCTTTTCCTTTTCCCCCTCATTATTTTTTTCCTCTACCTCCTTGTCATTTTGATTTCATCCTTTTTTTCCTCCGCCTCCTTATCCTGCCGCTCCTTTTCTTTTCATTATTCCTGCTCTTTTTTATCCTCCACCTCCACTTGCAGCTTACCCTCATTTTTTTTTTCAAACCCTTTATCTCCTCCTTTTTTCCTCCTTCTTATCTTCTTATCACTGGTTTTTTTCCTCTTTTTCCTTCTCCGTCTCCTCCTGCATCTCCTGCTCCTTATCATCATTTCATTGTTCCTGCTTTTTTTCCTCCTTTTTTTTATCTCCTCCACCACCACGTCCTCTGCCTCCTCTGCCTTCTTTCCTGGTTGCTGCTTTTTTTTTTTATATTCCTCCCATCATTTCCTTTTGACCGCTTACTTCCTCTTCCTTTCCTCTCCTACCTCATTGCATCACTGCTTCTTTTTTCCTCTACCTCCTGGTCATTTCGTGGTCCCTGCCTTTTTGTTTTCCCTCCTTCTCCTCCTCTACCTCCATCTGCATCTTACCCTCCTTATTTCGTCATCGCCTCTTTTTACTTCTCCTCCTCCTCATTTTTTGGCTGCTGCTTTTTTCCTTCTCTTCCTCCTCTGCCTCCTCCATCTCAACCTCCTCTTCATTTCATCATCACTTCTTTTGTTGTCCTCCTCCTCCCCCTTTGTGTTCCATCATCCCTGTTACTTTCTTTCTCCTCCTCTACCCTCTGCTCCGTCTTTTCCTTTCACTATCACTTCTCTCCTCCTCTTGTTTCTCCTTTTCCTCCTTTTTTTGCTTTTCATGGCTTTTTCCTCTTCTCCTCCCGTTACTTTTTCTTCCTTTCTCCTCCTTCTCCTCATCTTTTCCTGATTACCTCCCAATACCCCTCCTCATCTATCATCTCCTTCCCTCGTTGTTGTCACTTACCTTTTCCTCCTCGTCCCCTTTCTCCTCCTCTTACCCTCATTGCTGTTCTCCTCACCGTTCTCCTTCCTCGCCCGTTGTTGTCGCTCTGCTCCTCCTCTTTTTATCCTGGCCACCTTCATGCTTCTCCTCCAAAAAAAACCAGCAATTTTGACACTGAGCATAAAAGTATTGATAAGGTAAGAAAGGTAGAGGGGAGCTGTTATGTCACGGCCTGGATGGATAGTGATTGTGCAGCCCTGGAAAAGAGGTGGCTCATCCAGGATTGGGAGGTGCAAGAAATGCACCTGTGTTTCCTGCCTGACCTGGGCTTAGTGAATGGCTGGCCTGCCCTGGAAGCATTTTTTCTGGATGAAGGCTGTTTACTTTGAGGGTGCTGTCTTTAGTCTGAGATCTTTTCACCAGTTGTGTTTCTCATCGTTTTTGTCTATGTGCTTATTGAGGTTTGTAGTTTTTCTGTGCCTGGTTTTGCCAAGAACTTACCAGAAGCATTTTCACTGCTTCCAAGAACTAAGAGAAGAATGTAGCAAGCTGTAATTTTTAAGGCTTAGGGTTTTGTTTTCCATTACAAGCTTTTGTCAGGTCGCAATATCCTGCAAGTCTGATGACATGCCCTTAAGCTAAGATCTAAGAATAAATAAAGGGGCGGGTAGAATTTATCTCTTCTTAGCAGGAACAAGAAAGTAATACGATCTTCTACGATCTTCTCATGCCTCTTGCTAATCAAGAGGCAGAAGAGAAGAAATACAGCACCAAGTGTGTCTTTTGGGTTCCCGTAGCTCTTCACAAGTGGGGTGTAATAATCTATGGAGTGATGATGTGTAAATCCCAACAGTCTCTGTTGGGAAGCTGTCAGTTGGAGTTTTCTGTATGTAGATTGGAAGAACTGTAAAGCGATGGAAGCTTTGCAACTGGTGCAAGTTTTGGAAGAGAATGCTTTGAGAGAGTTGAGTTCTGTTACCAGTTTCTTAGATCTTCAACTGTTTTTGGTCTTTGCACAGAGCAGTTTGTTCCACATAAGCACTTAGAGAATTGCACATATCATTTCTTTTGGGATTAGATACTCAGTTTTACCTAACTGAGCGTTGTTTTACATGTATGACATCTACATATGCAGCTCGCAAATCAGCACCCGGCAGACACAAAATGTTCCTATTTACATTGTAGGTGGTCTGCCCCATATCTTAGCTTAGATGCTGCTTTCTTTGGTCTTGCATTAAAGTTATCCTTGTTTCAGTACAAAAATAGTGTTAAGCCTAAGAACAGATCACGTATTGAGCTGCATCAATTTGATGTCCTCAGTGTCTGGTGTTAGTATGACTGTGGAGATCAAAGACCTCTCTAGAGGTGATGCTCAGAAGCCTTCTCTTTGTCTTGTTTGAGAGAGCTAAAGTTAAGGGCTTCTTGGAAATTCCCGAGGGGAAAGAAAACAAAACCAAAGCAGATGCTGTTTGTATGTGAAATGCTGTAGTTTAGAGCAGAGAGTCTTTGTTCTGCGCCAGCAAGGGAGCCTGTGACTCTCTGGTCACAACTGGCAGCCAAACACGGACACAGAAGGCAGACCAGTCTGGAAAGGGCTGGAAGAACCCAGAATCACAGAATCACAAGGTTGGAAATGACCTGCAAGATCATCTAGTCCAACCACCCTCCCATTCCTATCAGTACCACAAGCACTAAACCATCTCTCATAGCTCCTCATCCAGGCGCCTCTTGAACACTGCCAGGGACGGCGACTCCACCACCTCCCTGGGCAGCCATTCCAGTGCCTGACCACCCTTTGAGAGAAAAAGTTTCTCCTAATATCCAACCTAAACCTCCTCTGGTATAACTTCTGGCCATTTCCTTGGGTCCTACTATTTGCCTTGGAGAAGAGGCCAGACCCTTTTGCACCACAACCTCCCTTCAGGAAGTTGTAGAGTGCAGTGAGGTCTCCCCTGAGCCTCCTCTTCTCCAGCCTGAAACTCCCCTCTGGAGAGAGGGCTGAAAGAAGCCCCTGTTGAGAGATGGCAGAGAGAAGCCCTATCAAGAGAGGTTTTGTGTAAAGAAGCAGGATGGCGAGTGTTAGAGACTGTTTCTTCACCTTTGTCTCCAAGCTTGCTGTTGGACAATTTCAACAGCTAGGTGAGTCCAAGAAATCTTTTGTCTGAAAGCTTGTTTAGGATAGAAACCTTTGATGTGTTTGATAAAGTGGAGACGTGTTCAGTGATTAATTTCTCACCCTGGCAGCATTTCTTGTCCGTGGCTCTTTCCCCAGGCCATGAAATTCGTCCTTCCACAGGAGCAGGATGCAGTGCAATGGCAGCTGTTGTGGCGGGGGGGGGTTGGAATGGAATGTTCACAGACGTCACAATGGTGACATGCTGTGTCACAGCAGCAGGGACCGTTTGCTGTCAGAATGGAGCAGCGACTAAGCCACATACTTAATTTGCATAATTAGGGGATTGTGATAAGGAAAGTCACATAAGGAAATGTGATCCAAGATAGTGACGCTGCCTAAACCAATGGGCAGAAAGATTCGTCCGGTTTCCCTGGGGAAGACTTGTTCATGAATGGCTTCATTGGATACACTGCTATAGCAAATCTACCTTCTCCTAGGGCCTAATGTGCCATTCTCAAACTGCACTGCAGAGCACTGTTGTGTAGCCGTGGCTGCTGGCGGAGCTTTTGGGTTAGGCATACATTGCCCTTTTGCTGAAGGTAACATTGATGCTTGCGGCCTTTGCCTCCCAGGAACTGTAGCAAAACACACAAAAGATGATCTCCTAGAAGGAACTGGGATTGTTGTGGCTAAGAAGAGTCTCAGGGGAGACATTATGCCTTTCTAAAAGTCCCTGAAAGGGAGGTTGTAGCAAGGTGGGGGTCAGCCTCTTCTCTTAGATACCAGCTGTAGGACGAAGGGGAATTGGCCTCAGGTTGCACGAGAGGAAGGTTCAGTTGGATATTAGGAAAAAAAATTTCTCAGAAAGAGTGGTGAGGCACAGGAACAGGGAAGTGCTGGAGTCACCACCATTCCTGGAGGTGTTCAAGAAGCAGGTAGCTGTGGTACTGAGGAACGTGGCTTACTGGACATGCTGGTGATGAGTTGAACTAGATAATCGGAGTGTTCTTTTCCAACCTGAATGATCCCATCCTGTCCTTTTGTTCGCGTAACAGCATGCAACTGAATGAATTTTGCATGCACTGCTTTTAGAGGAAGTTCCTTTTGCTGGTTGCACTGATTCCAGGTGATGGCAGTAAAGGACCTTTGCTCTTTCAGCACATAGTGTGAAGTGTAGAAAGCTGTCAGACTCCTGCTCCACCTCCAGAGGAAGTCATTCCTGTTCCTTCCTAGCAGCTCATCAAGACATCCATCGTGAGATGGAAAAACAACATGGCTTGGATTGGAGGGTTTTTTCCCTTCATTATTAATAAATAATAAATATGGTCTATATTTTTCATTTGCCTCTGTGTGGGTCTTTCACACTGCTTATTCTATTATAATCTTTCAATATACATAGATACGATGCCATTGCAGTGTTTATTTTTGAGGTATTTCAGGCTGCCCCTGGTTGTGCAGCATAGGTGTGTGAGCAGACAGAGGGTATCCTATTAGGATAGCTTGGCCTTGTCACTCAGGCAGATGGTTAACATGGCAATGTTACATCAGAAACAGTTTCAAAATAAAAAGCCTTGCAGTGAGCCTGAAATATACCTGCTGGAACTGGAACAAATCAGCCATTCACAACTAATGTTTTATTGATGGTCTAAAGGAAAGGAAGGAGAGAAAACCAGACCAGAAAGCCCTTACAGTTCAATTCAGTGTAGCCTTGACACTTCCTTTGGTAAGCCTGTTTTTAATGAGCGTGGGGCAAGATGGAAATGATTCTGACATAGCTGTTATCAAATGAGGCACAGTGATGCCTGTTAACAGGGAACGTGTTTCACCCCTGGTTTTCGTTGGACAGTGCATTCACTGTCAGTGGGTGAATGAACCCAATATTTTCCTGGCAAGGAATGGGAGGGTGGGGGCATCTGCTGAAATGGTTGTTGTAGAGCAGCTTCAGGGAAGGTGAGTTCTGTCCATCCCGAGCTGTATGCAGCAGAAAGGCTGGTAGTGCTGTAATGACAGCAATCTTAGCTTCAGAATGACAGTGGGTATCAAAGTATTACTTATAGTTTTTTAGCTCACACTGAGAATGAGCTTTTGAAGCAAATTCCTTGATTGTCTCCTTTTACCGTCCTTTGATTTTCATCATTTTGCAGAACATGAACTGCAATGATTGTAGCTAGCTTAAGTAGACAGTGAGCTCCAGGAATGCATCCTATGCCCTTCAGTAACAACAGAGTGGGAATATAGTTACCAAAAAAGGGAAGAACCCCTGGAATGTTTTCAGTGTGAATGGCAGGTCCTCCTGAGCACCAGCTATTTTTTTTCCTCCCAATAGATCTTCTGTTTGGCAGCTCAGCTTGCTCATGCAGACCTGGCTTGCATTGTGGCAACAGGAATGTTCACACAACACGTATGTCGGTGGCTGCCCTAGGTGTGTGTCCAGCTCAGTTCAGAGGGGAAGTTTACATTGCTTTGTTGATGCTAGCTTGTGAACTTTGCCTGGCTAATGGGTGCCCTGCCTTGTGCAGGTATATCTGTGCGTGTGGCACAAGTTACTTACTTCCAGCTGTGGCATACTTGTATGCTTTTTGCATCTTAGTCTTGCAGGTAGAGAAAAGGCATGAGGCTAGGAGCGTGAGCTGGGTGCAGGAGTTAATAACCCGGGCACCTTGTAAGTCACTGCATGTATTTCCCCACTAGCACAGACAGTTACATTGTAACTCCCGTCACCATCTGATGGTCTCTCTGGAGCAGATCAGTTCTCCTCCTGTGATTGCAAGGTTACTCTTTGGAAACCTTCCATTTATGCACACCTGTGATGGATTAGACTTGTGTTTAAAATATTCCTCTTTGATCGGTGTTTTTATGTCCCTTCTGTGTTTATGGGAGGGGCAGGGGGGGAAGAGTATTTAGCCTGAGTAATCATGTTAATAAACGGTGTAATTGTAACGTCTCTTAGTAAAACAGAGTGTGTGCTTTAGGTCCCTTCTGTATCTCCCATTATATTCTTCAGTGTGGAAGAGCAAGAGCAGCTCAGTAGGTGGAATGAGGTTCCAGAAACTCCTTGTACAACAGGGCTGCCGTTAATTCTTACCTTCCTTGGTGGTGTTTCATCTGCACTGCCTCAGTTCACATTTTTCTTCTGCAGTCGCTTCACAGAGTTGGTGAGCAGTCAGCAGACACTTAACTGAGGTCTCTGCTTTGTCTTTTTGAATTGGTGATATTTTTGCTTTTCAGTGGAAGTCCCCGTCAGAAGTTGCTGTGTTACTGTGCTTGCGTTGCACGGTGTTGGATCTTGTCCATTTGTATTTTGGTTTCACAGATCACCTTTACTGTTTTTTCCCCAGCATATTCCTGCTTTCAGTTGCGTTCTTGTCAGCTTAGTGTCATTAGCAAAGCTCAGTACATTTCTCCTCTTTGACCCACATCCATTTGTGTAAATATTATTTAAGATTACTTAAGACCACCTGGTGTAGGGAACCTGCTTTGGCAGGGGGTTGAACTCGATGATTTCTGGAGGTCCCTTCCAACCCCTACAATTCTGTGATTCTGTGATAAGATGATGGCCCTCACTGATGAGAAATAGGCTGAGAAATGAGCAAAAGACTCCAGAGGTCAAGATGAAAAGATCTTCCTGTGTGACTCTGAGCAAGTCATTTGGTGTGGGATTCCATTTTTTCTACACACTACAAAAGCTGGACTCCTCATTTGGGCTCCATCTGTAGTCAGCAGAGCTAGATGGATGAATTGCTCTCTAGTGGTATCTGTGTTAAATGCTTCCTCCCCAAGAGACAGTGAATCACGCCATGGAATGTCCCATCTTTCTTAACAGTGAGCCTAGCAGATAGTTTGTAGTTCTAGAGGGCTAAACTAGGAGAGAGAAATTCCATCCTTCTAGACTGTAGACCCAGATGATGGGGTCAGTAGGTCTTTTCTGTCTCCTGAGTGTTCTTACAATGATCTTAAAAATGGTGAGGCATGATGATTCTGGAGCAGTAAGACGTCTGAAATGTCTGAGTATCTGTGTCAGCTGAGCCAGCTAAGCCAGCACTGTTTTGTCACAGCGACGTGTGGGATTTGTGTTGGGTAACTGCTGCCTCATACGTGCAGCATTTTTCCTGACAGCTCAGAGTTAGGCGTGATTTTTCAAATCTTGCTGTTTGGGTTGGAATAAGGAAGGATGAACAAATGTTAAGATCAAACATCAGGATCCCTGCCTCAGACTTCTTTGATTTGAACTAGTTTAAAGTCAGGTGTCTGGCATGTGTTTGGAAACACTGCTTGCCTGACTTTTCTTAATGCCTTTTGGCTTTTGCAGGCTGGGGGACGTAGGGCTGAGTGGTTATGGAAGCTGAGAATGTGCCCTACAGTGTGTCTCAAGATCTGCTGCTGGCGTTGTGCTGGAGGCAGTCTGCATGTGAACTGCAGCAGCACGTCATCTTTCCTGCTTTCTCCCTTCCAGTGCTACACTATAAACATAACCTGTTAAAAAAAAAAAAAAAAAAAGGAAAGAAAAAAGGATTTTCTAGGGCCTTAGAGTGAGAAAAAAGTAAACTCTTAAATGGGAACACTTCAGTATGGCACAGATAGTGGTAAATGCTTTATTTCCTGACTGAACAGAATGTACTTTTTTCCAGTTAAAATCACCAGAAAAAAATGAAGTGTGTTTACTATAATGCATAGAAAATACTTCAAAATAGAGAAATATACTTTTTAAAGTACAAGAGCTATGTTATTAATAGCCTTTTGTGTGTTTTGCTTCATTTAGATCCCATACAGGGGAAAAACCATATGTTTGTGAGGACTGTGGTGCTTGCTTTGCTGATAAAGGCAAACTCACTGGCCACAAAAGGACGCACACGGGTAAGCATTAAATACTTCTGTTCCTTCCATCACCTCCCATTGCTGCCTGGTAAGAATTAGTGGGGATTTGGAAGTGAACACTTCTTTTTCTAACTCACAGAAGGCTTCCAGGAGGGAACTACCAGGGATAGAGAGATACTTGAAAAGTCACTTTGAAGTACAAAAGTGGATGTGTGGGAGCAGGACTGGAGTATTGTGGAATGAAATTATGATAAAGGGTTAAGTGAGAGAGTAAGGTCACATGTACAGAGAAGATACAGAGAACCAAGGGACAAAGATACGTGGAAATCAGATAACCGAAAGATAAAAATTATGAAGCATGGTAGTTCCAGGAAGAAAAACATTTGAGCAAGTGAAAGGCAACAGGAAGATTGTGCCCTGGGCAATCTAATCTAGCACTTAATGTAATAGTTGGCAACTCTGCCTGTGGCAGGGGGTTTGGAAGTTGGTGATCCTTGAGGTCCCTTCTAATCAAAGCCGTTTTGTGATTCTATGAACATAAACGTGGAGAAGGGGATTTTTGCCAACTCAGAGCCAGAAAGGAGTTGTGGGTAGGTGAAAGCTTCTGCAAGAATTCAGAGTGCCTTTTCCTTCTTACTCAGGTGAGCGTCTCTTTAAGTGTGATGTGTGTGGAAAACATTTTGCCACCAATGAATATTTAAAATGCCATAAACGATGCCACATGGGTGCTAAGCCGTACAAGTGCGAGGTTTGTGGGAAGACGTTTGGATTGAGAGCCTCACTAGCTCAGCACAGTAATGTCCACGCAGGTAATGAAACAAACAAATTGGGGCCGAGAAAATAAACTGCACTGGAAGTTGAGATGTGAAATATTTTACAGTTTGGATGGTGACATGTTATTCCAAAGCCACTTTTATAAGCTCCTTGAGTTAGGTGGTGAGGAGACGCAGGGCTGCTACTGATCCTGACTTGCTAAATGGGGCAAGGTACCATCTTATATCAAGTGACACTTGTCCAGAAGAGTGAGGTGTATTGTGTGCTGTTGGAGGACACTGGAGTGACTGTTATTAGTGCTGCTATTCCCCTTGCAAGATCAGGGTGCTGTTCTTGGGCTTTCCATCACAGCCAGAGAAGACTTGAGAACATTTATCACCTAACCTTAGAAGCCAGGGCCCCGAGCACATTCCTGCTAGATACACAGCTTTATCCCGACGTTCGTCTTTTCAAACTTCCATACGCTTTTTGTCTGTGAAATTGGAGCCAAAAGAAACTGCCTTCGAAGCCACTGATTGCTGTTCTTTGCCATTTAGAGACCCGTCCGTATTTCTGTGAGCAGTGTGGAAAAACATTCACCCAGCAGGGCGCTCTCCGGCGCCATCAGCGTATTCACACTGGGGAGAAGCCCTACAAGTGCAGAGCATGCGAGAGAACTTTCACAGACATGTCCACCCTACGGAGACACGTGTCGGTATGCCAACCCCTTGTAGCTTACACACAGGAGGGAGACTGATATTTTTTATTATGTGGGCAGATGAGACGCAAGAGGGAATGGTTTTAAACTAAAAGAGGGGAGGTTTAGATATTAGGAGGAATTTTTTTTACTCGGGGTAGTGAGACCCTGACGCAGGCTGCTCAGAGAAACTGTGGATGCCCCATCCTAGCCATTTTGATGAGGCCTTGGGCAGTCTGATCTAGTGGAGGGCAACGAGCCCATGGCAGGGGCATTGCAACTAGATGGGCTTTGAGCTTCCATCCAACCTGAGTAATTCCAGGATTCTGTGAACCCTCAAACCCTTGTGGGAGTCAGGCTGCAGCGGTGACTCTTAGCTTCTGAGAGAAGTTTCATGGCTTACTGGAGGTTCACACTGTTCTGGTGTTTATTTTTAAAAACTGTGGAAGAATGAAGGTTAGGGTTAGGAGATGGACACAGCATATACATGGCTTTTAAAAACATATTTCTGCAGTGTGCAGAATTTTCTCCTATCTAGCGGCACAGCAGCTCCCACTGCTGGCTGCCAAATCAGTCATCTTCCAAATAGTTGTACTGTCTTCAAAAGGAAAATGTGATCTTAAGAGGGATGAGGAGGGACAGTGGTTATTTAATATGCTTATATTAAGTATCTTAATTATTTAAATAAGTAATTTTTTAAAAGAAGTATTATGTGTTGTATTACTACACCTCTGCACGGTTTGAAGCCTCTAGCATGATGGTTTATAATGTCTCCATGAATATAGTTTTACACATTTCTGGAGTTATGATGCACTGAAAAAATTGACTGCCAAAATTGGCTGTGTTCAGAAACCTCCATACCCTCAGTGTGACTGCTAAGGGAGAACATAAGGTGTTTTTTTTCCAATTGCAAGATTATAAATGTAATGTTTGCCTACGTGCTGAACATCTAGTTTCCTTTGGAAGCGTTCTCTGGCAGAAAATCAGTGCAGAGTTGGCAAAAACAGCTCTGTTCTCATGCTGCAAATCCAGCTTTTGCTGCTCACACGTTAGCACGATTAGCACAGTGAGCAAACCTCACTGCTGTGCGATGTCTCACTGAATTCAGTGTTTGGCAGTGGCTGCTGGAAGATCTCACATGTCGTTGTCTTCTTTTTCTCTAGATTCATGACCGAAACGCTCACTGGAGAAGCTTCTTAATAGACCTTACGACCAAAAAAAAACCACAACTGGTCCAAAATAGAGACGTTCTCGGGAGCCTGTATGGACGAGGGCTCGGTACCAGAAATTTGGTCAGTTGACCGAGGTAAACTTTATAAACCAGAAAGCGTCATTCTTAAACAAGTACAGCAGGTGCCACCTAGCGTTAGCAGCGCAGAAGGCACCGACCGCTCCGTCCTGTGCCTGTAACGCCGTGTCACCGGGAAGCCGTGCGGGCAGGAAGGCTTCATGAGGCGTGCTGCAGGTATTTGGGCCGGGTGGGTTTTAACTCTGCCTACAGCTTCACATTTTTTTTTTATTTTTTTATTTTTTTTAACCAAGCTGTGGCTGCATCACACGGTATCTCTTTAGGAAAGTGTATGCGGATGTGTGTTTGCGCAGGTGCCGTGCTGTCACTGTGCGTCACTGCGGGTTTCTGAATAAAGACGTGCTCTCTCAGCGGTGATGTGAACAGATCAATCAAGGACGGGCGCCTTAAAGGCTATAGGCTGGCGCAGGCGCGCGGTTGCCTAGCGTAGCCGTCGCGCTTCGTGACGTCATTTCTGCTGCGACGGCACCGAGGGGCGGGGCCAGCTCGGCAGCGCTTCCGGCCGCCGCCCGCAGCCCGGGCCGTGAGGAGCGGCGCGGCCGGCCCGGGCCCGAGCCCCAGTGCTGCCCCGCGCCGCGGCTGAGGTGAGCGCCGCGCCTTCGGGAGACTCTCCGCGTCTGGGGACGGCTCTGCAGCCGCCGCGGTGCTGCTTCCCGGCTCTTCGTGGGCGCGGGCGGCCCGTCAGCTGGGCAGGCCTGGGAGGCGGCGGAGCCGTCGCCCCGCGGGCAGGGCTCGCTCCCTGCAGTGCCCTGGGTCCGTGCGGGGCGCGTGGTGTGTGCTGCGGTAGTGCGTGGGGCCTTGGGAAGTGGCACGATAAGCAGCTTGAAAAAAAAAACCGTAAACCTCGTATCGGGGTGAGAAAGTGAAGTTCCGATAGCGTTGGTTGTTTCAGATAAAACGCTGAACGAGGCTTTGTTTAACGGCTCTGTGATGGAGAGTGCCCGTGGGAGGAGGAAATGCCTGGGTAAATAGAGAGAAGAGGAAATGTTTTTAGATTCCACCGTCCGCGGTTATTAAGGCGTCAGCCTTTCGTTAAAAACAATGCCTAAAGCACGGTGTTGGGGCTCGTTTGTAAGAGTGGGCCTTTGGGGTGCCTGCTATGCTCAGGGCTGGCACAGGCAGATGGGAGGACTCTGCTTTCCTTCTTAGTATAACAGGGTCTGGGTGTAATTTATGTAAGGTGGTAACCAAGTCTTTCAAATAGTTGATGTGACTATTTAAATCTTAAATGCATCAAACTAAAGGTTCGAAGGCTGGGAAATGTGAAGGGTTTGGTTCTGAGGAGACTCTGTTGGAGCAAGGATGGAGGTTTGGGTGCCAGGTGTGCACACGTTCCCTCATCTGCCACTTACCTGTTGTATGATAGTAGGGAAACCTTTTCATTTTCTACTATTATTCTTTTCTTATTTTTGTCATTTTACTGGCTGTTAATAATCTCCTGTGTGTTCTGTAGCTCTCTATTTTGCAGCATTAGGCCTTCTTGAAAATGTTGTCTCCAAACTGTTTTAGCAGAATATTGTATTGAGCTGTGAGTCTGTTTTTTTGTGGGTGCTCGAAACTTAGAGGCTCTACGCTTCATAGAATCACAGAATGGCCTGGGTTGCAAAGGAGCACAATGCTCATCCAGTTCCAACCCCTGCTGTGTGCAGGTCACCAACCAGCAGCCCAGGCTGCCCAGAGCCACATCCAGCCTGGCCTTGAATGCCTGCAGGGATGGGGCATCCACAGCCTCCTTGGGCAACCTGTTCCAGTGCCTCACCACCCTCTGGGTGAAAAACTTCCTCCTAATATCCAACCTAAACCTGACTTGAATGGTGAATTGCTTTATAAGAGAAACAGCATTGGGGAAGTTTTCTGGTTTCTTGAGTTTACAATTGGAGAACACGCGTACGCAGTTTCCTGCGCTTCTGTTAGTTAATGAGCATTTGGAAGCTTATCCAAATCTTGTTTGAATGTCTTAACTGAAAAGCCTGTTTAAAGCTGATGACTGCAGTTAACTTAAACTTCCTTCTTCTTACTGCCTGACTAGGGGGGAGAAGAACTGTTTAATTCCACATGCCTTAATGGAAAGTTTTCTTTTGATCTCCCTCTGTTTGTTCTGCCCCTGTTACACTTTGTCATAGTCTCTAGTGGTTCAGGTGAAACTGCGGTTGAGATTTAAAAGCAAATGAACTTCAGAGAAATGTGTGTGACTGACAGTGTGCTTTTAGATATTGCCACTTAGGGTGACACTTCTGGAGTCCTGTCTGTGCTGCAAGCCAGACTTTTCACAATGCTCCTTTGAAAGTGTGCTCACTTAAGCTTCAGCACCTGAAGTGCTTAAATCTGACGTGAAGCACTCTCAGAAATCTGGACGTGGTTTTTGGCTGCTGATATCTTTGAGGGTTTTTTGTTTTTTAACATGCAGTGTTGTTAACAGCTTTTTGCAGAGAGAAGAAAGATGGAAAGTAATGCAGTTTTACTGGAATCCAAGTCCTCTCCCATCAACCTGCTGAATGAAATGCACCAGCTGCGTCTCCTGGGCCACCTCTGTGACGTGACGGTCAGCGTGGAGTACCAGGGTGTCAGGGCAGAGTTCGTGGCACACAAAGCTGTGTTGGCAGCAACGAGCAAATTTTTCAAGGAGGTCTTCCTTAACGAGAAGAGCATGGATGGCCCGAGAACCAACGTGTTCCTGAACGAGGTCCAGGTTGCTGATTTTGCTTCGTTTCTTGAGTTTGTCTATACTGCAAAGGTAGAAGTGGAAGAGGACAGAGTGCAGCGCATGCTAGAAATAGCCGAAAAGCTGAAGTGCTTGGACCTCTCAGAAACCTGCTTTCAGTTAAAGAAGCAGATGCTTGAGTCGGTGCTGCTGGAGCTGCAAAATTTCTCTGAATCACAGAACTCCGAGGAAGAGAGTGCAGCCCAGCCGAGCAGTTTGCTCGAGTGTAAAGCAGCTGCTGTGGCAGAACCCGAGCAGGCTGGCTGTCCTCCGGATCCTGCGGGTTCCCCGGGTGGCAGGCCCAGAATTGGACTGTCTCTTGAGGTGCCAGCTGCCAAACCAAAAGAGAAAGCAGACAAAAAGAAGGAAATGATGAAGCCTCCTTATGCCAAAATCAGAAGGGCGAGCGGGAGACTGGCTGGGAGGAAAGTGTTTGTGGAAATCCCAAAGAAGAAATACACGAGGCGGCTGAGAGAGCAGCAAAAGAATGCGGGGGCTGCTGTCGAAGAGGACAGTTACCCACAGGACCAGGACGTGTGTGATACGGAGAGGGAGGAGGAGCAAGCAGAAGACAGCATCAAACCTGAAAGCGAAGAGTGCGACGGCAACTTTGAAACGGGAGAAAACGTGAAAAAATCCGAAGAGGACAAAAAGAAACGAGGCAGTAACTTCAAGTGCAGCACGTGTGAGAAGGAATTCCTGTACGAGAAAAGTTTTCTCAAGCACATAAAGCACAGCCACGGCATCGCAGCCGAAATCGTTTATCGGTGTGAAACCTGCAGTCAGACCTTTGCCAACCGGTGCAACCTAAAAAGCCATCAGCGCCACGTCCACAGCAGCGAGCGCCACTTCCCTTGTGAGCTCTGCGGTAAGAAGTTCAAGAGGAAGAAGGACGTCAAGAGGCACATTCTCCAGGTTCATGAGGGTGGTGGGGAGCGTCATCAGTGCCAGCAGTGTGGAAAGGGGTTGAGCTCCAAAACTGCCTTGAGGCTCCATGAAAGGACGCATACAGGCGACAAGCCTTATGGGTGCACAGAGTGTGAGGCTAAATTTTCTCAGCCTTCTGCACTTAAAACACACATGAGGTATGAACAGACTTAACTGGCCTTGTTAGATTCTGGGGGGAGAAGCGGAATCCCCTGGATCACACCTTGAGCCTTCCAGTGAAGTGGGGGTGTAAAACGTGACTGACTGGAAAACTTCAGTATTTCTTTGTTTCGTGGCTTTTCTCCTGCTTTTCAGGTTAAGGGAGTTTTGTAATTTCCTTTCAGGAGAGGTGCGTGGGCTCGGGCTGCCTGCTGCTGAACTACACTAACTTTGAACATAGGAATATATGAGAAAGGCAACCCATGATGAGTGATTTGTGCAATTAGGGCTATCGTTACTTCAGCTAATTTGATGCCCCTTTATATTTGATAGCAAAATGTTATGCAGTAAGCATGAAAATAATCTAAAAAGACACAGCTGTGTATTAAACTGAAGAATGCCACATATTATGGGTGCTAAGCATAGCAAAAAGCTGAAATTTGCTCAGGAGCAGGCAGGTATGTCAATGTCTGGAGGTGAGTGAGGCACTGAGGGCATCCAGAGCAGAGTGGTGAAATGAGGCGTGGGCTCAAAGATGAGATACAAATGCACAGTCTTGGAAGCTCAAAGGAGAGACTCTTTAGTGAGGCTCTTGGTTTTTAAGGGCTTTATCTCTGTCTTTTGAAAGCAGTGGGTTTATTCCCAGTGGTAGGGGAATAAGCAAGAAGCAGAAGCAGACTTCTTCAGCCAGACTGCCGCTGTGATATAATTGCTGATGCAGCTGTATGGAAACTTTTCCATTGTGTGTCCTGTCCATATCACAAGTATTTGCTTTCTGCTGCTCACAAACAGTATTTTGACATAACCAGAGTTTCTCCATCATGAATATTCAGCAGGGCTGCTGAATGCTAGAAAGCGTGGCTGTCCTCATCTGTGTACCATGATGGTCTATAGTGAGAATTTTTCATCTTTCTGTGTGTTTTTTTACATCTAAGGCAGTGCACTTGCAACACTATTCAAAAGATCTCTGAAATGTGCATGGGGTGAAGATCTAAGCTCTAGAAAGCTGGTACAGGCAAGACTTGTGTGAGCTGCCCCTCCTGTACACAGCCTTCCCCTGGAGCTCACACTGCTGCCCTGGAGTGACAGGAATTAAAGTGCCCACGCAGAAGTGGCACATTCTTGTTCTGCTCCTTGATGCCACCTGTGTCCATTGTAGCTTTTTCTACCTGATGGCCCTGCAGGAGCAGTGTGCTAAGGAAGGCATCAGTCGTGTTGTGTGTGGAATATTGTGTTGGTAGAGCCAGCAATGGGAAGATAATCACTTCACTTTAGGTCGCAGCCCGCTGACATTTTTCTTTCAGTCTCTTTATC